TCAGAGACATTCGAAATCAAATTTCATGCAAATATTGGTAATCGACATCAAAATTTCGACTTTTTACATGTAATATGAATATATTCTGTAACAGGTTTCTCTAGATTAATATTTAGACTAAAAATACTTGGCCCTGAACATATCTCATTAGTGATAATCCCCTCAGTCAATCGATAATTTTCTCATCGATACAAAAGTCTTAATTGTTTAATATTAATTAGATAGATGATAAATAGAGTCTCATGGCGTAAGTCTGATCACAAACTCAGAATTTCATTTTGTTTTAGGTCGTTCTCAGACATCTTCTATTATCATCAAGCGATGATTTTTGGATTATAACTAATTAGTTCGAAGTGTCTTCTATCTATTAACGAAAGAATCTTCGAAAAACCACATACTGAAAAAAAGAGTAGATAAAAATAGCAAAAGTGAAGGGAAGCTAATTTGAATTATTCCACTTGTGGAGACTTGGAGCAGTCCAGAGAAAAAGCCTATATTCTTATCTCCACATCTCTTAACCCATTTTATTTTATATCAGTTCTTGAAAAGCAAAAAAGAAACATACCATTCAATAGTCTAAAGTCTTTTGTATAGGACCTAAGAATATCTTGATGAATGAGTGTAAGGTTGTGATGGAATATACACAACACTGCACCCTCTATCAACTACCGTTAATGAAATGAAAGTTTATCTAGAGCAATTCGGATGATCAAATTATTTTTGGCTAATGGCTATTTATGAAATCTTCATCACTAGTGTTTTTGATAGAAAATTTCTTTCTGTCTATGGTCCTCTAGTCTTCAATGCCAAAAAAATTCAAAGTTGATGTGATCGGCCAAGATTATGCTATTTAATGAAACGACTGAAAACAATGTCATCTACGACGTCCTTCCAGTCTTTTGCAGACTAATTCAAGTGTGAAATAAACTTTAAAACAATTTTCTTCAGCAACATTCAAAACTGGGTGGGTTTCTATAAACTTCGAGACTATTGTGAACCTTTTTTCTTGTCCAAAAATTTACCCCTGTTCTCACTCAGCGGTCAGATCGAAAATTCGATATCATAAGCAGATCACTTTGAGTTCTACGAGGGCATGGTATATTCCGATTTCCAGGAAATTCAAAATTCGCTACATTTAAAGTGCAGGATATTGCAATGAACAGTATTAATGTGACAATGTCCAGTGCTAATTTTCATATATAAAGGCACATTTTGTATTGTTATATATATATAAAACTGATCTGATACTACTCTATAAAAAATGTGTATATAAAAGATCTCTACTATTTATATTTTTATCGAATCAAGGCACGATTTTTATATATACATAATATATGGTTTGATTTCGAATTGGGTCGGGTTGGATTGGGTCAAGTAAGAATATATATGTATATATATAATATATGATTCGATTTCGGGTCAGATTGGGTTGTATACATATAGATATATAATCTTACTTGACTTGATTTGACTTGACCCAACCCAACCCAACCGAATCCTAACTTGGACTTCAACTTTATTTCTATATTCTTTTTGCAATTAGAAGAGTTTTCTCTGATTATCGTTAAAAGCATTCGATTAAATTTCCATGAAATTTCTCCTAGAGTCACTTTATTTGAATTTTCTGGAAATAGGAATCTACCATCTCATGCAGTTTTGAATGCTGATGCAGAATATCATGTTGATTTTTACCAAATCCTACTTTTCGGAGCAACATCTTCGCAATATGGGCCTAAAATCCTTTACATCATGTTTGAAGACTAGTATCCTTTGAATCTTATGAATTGTTTAGTATGCTTTCATGCATGTTTTTATACTGTTCTCTAGTTTGAACAGTTCTGAATCGGACACACTAAAGACTTTTATTTAGGTTCTTTTGACAATAGATAGAGGACACTTCGAACTAGTTTTGATTCAAAAATCATCGCTTGATGATTTAAGATGCTTAAGAATGAGAAAAACAAAATGAATTTTTTAATGTTTCATTCGAATTACTTCAGAAGACTCTATCTCACAGAGAATATGTGGTAAAACTTCGTTAAAAGTTGGCTATGACAAGTATTGCTATCTACAGGACCCAAACTACTCTCTATCAACACTGTAATTGAAGTACTAATTCATAATAGTTTCTAAAATACATTTGTTTCTACGATCGAGTATCACGCTTGAAGTTTAGGTTTGTCTCTCAAAACTCAACTGAGGAATACTATTTTCACTGTAAAATTATATTAAATATTCTAAAATGTGTTTTGTTTATTTATGCAAAGTATGACGGTTAACTATAGTCTGTCCAAAAAGTCCGTGTGTGTGACTGTTTGTTGAATAACTCAAGAACGAAAACAGCTAGAGACCTGCGATTTTCACCAGTCAAAGGAGGTGACACGTGGACGTCGTTTTCTCTGATATTGTACAAGACACATTCGTTCTAAAATCAATCATTTCTTCAAAACATTGGAAAATATGCGTGATAACGGTCTATTATTTCGATGAGATTTTGGTTTTAATATGTGATCTGGATAGATGGACTTCAGATCTATAACATAAGATATAATTTAAATGATTATCTTCATACCTTGTAATATTAAGCAAATACAATTCTCTATTTGCTCCCTCGAAAAATACGAATTTTTCTCGAATTTTCTTACTTTTTGTTAAAAATTTCATCTCAACGACAGAATATTTTCGTACAATTTGTCGATGTTTCGTAAAAAGGGTTGATTTTAAAATGACTTCGTCTTATACAATATCGAAGAAAAAAGACGTCTCTATATCACCTCGTTCAACGGATGAAAATCGCAGGTCTCTAGCTGTTTGCGTTCTTGAGTTATTTAACAAACAGTCACACGCACAGACTTTTTGGACGGACTATAGTATTACTTCGATAAATGCATTGAAAATAAAAGACAACATTGTCACATCTTGTTATTTTTTTTTTACGTTTACGAATTACTTGAAAATTAAGAAACCCTTTAAAAAGTGTACAAATTTCTATGTTGACTGTTGAAAGACCAAAAAGGAAAAATGTTATGAGTTTCAATTAACACGATATTCTTTATTTTTGGGATAATACTAACATTGTTACATAGATCATACAAAAGTCAAAAGATCAAAAAAAATAAAAAATAATAGTAAGATTTTTCCGTTTAACAACTGTAAATGACATACTATCTAAATATTGCATTACATTTATAAAAGTATCATAATATCGTTCGTCAAATTTATCTATAGGACGTTTAGTATTCCATGAAATTTCTGCAGATTTATTCTTTATTATTGGCTAGGGTGACAATGTTCATCGATCATGTTAATCAATTGATTATCAGTATTTATATCAAAGCTGAGTACAGAGCAATAATTTAAGACATGAACACATTCTATATTTGGTAGGAAGTATTATTTTCTTGAGTTTTTAAAATGTATTTATCTGATACAAACAAACTTTTTTCTTTTTGCGACCGAGTAAGTTAAGTAGTTGACGATGAGGAATGATTGGTATCTAATAAAGATGACCCTAATAATTGTCATGATAATAGGTTTTCAGTTATATAATATTATTATTATGACCATTTCAATTCTTGTCGATCAAGTATTACAGATCATTGTTACTAATTATTATAGTACTAAGTCTATAGAATAATGAGCAAAGCAATAAGAAACTATAGAGGAGCAGTCAATATTTATTAGAGACATCATTTTTCTCAGTCTTTTCCTATTATCAAAAGTTTTCTTTTCAGTGTTTTTATAGTATATCAAAGTCTATTGGTTGTTATTTACTAAATTTTAATTTTTTCTTGACTTATACACCTATTCTTTACTTTTCATTGCCATGTTTTTATTCCTTTATAATCATACATTATGTTTATGTCATTATCTTTCTCAATGACATAAATATTATTCATATATATGTATATTTATTGTAAAGCTTCATTGTTTTTAATTAATCCATCGAATCCTTGTTTTTTATTTTACCGTTAATGCATAGAACAAATATCGAAGAACGTAACAAACAATAAAAAGAAAAACAAAATACAAAAGAAAAAAATGGGAATCAATCATGCATACATTAATTAGCAACTATTTAAAATAAACATATCAGTAATCAATATCATTATACTGCCTTGAGATAACAAACACAAGAAGAAGAAAACAATCATGGCAATTACACACCGTACCGTGACTCTTCATAAACGTCCATATCAACCGATTTTTGGTCTATATTTTGGTGATGATATACCTTATGGTGTTTATATAATTACTATAGAACCTAATTCACCAGCAGCTGATGCTTATATACAACCTGGTGATCGTATATTAGCTGTTAATGGACAATTAATATCACAAATGTTTGGAAATCCAAGAGAAATTGTTTCAGAATTAGCAAATCGTGTTCAAAGTTTAACACTTACTCTTCAATCAACGAATATACTTAGAGTTATTGATGAACCATTCACTAATGGTTATTATAATAATTATTATCAATATTCATCAAACTACAATCAAGGAATTGATTATGATCTCGAAAGGTATTTCTTTTTTATGCAGTAAATATTCTTATTTTTTTCAATTTTTTATTCAGTTATATAAAAGGATTATTTTTTAATGAAAATTTGAAAATTCGTCCTGTATCTTCATGGAATAATGATGAATATATTCTTGTGCCTGATGATTATGTTCGTAGGCCTGATGAATATATTCTTGTGTGTGATCAATATCCAATTCGATCTCGTCATCGTCGTCGTCATCGAAAACGAAAACATCATATGAGAAAAAGAACTCATACATCAAGTGAGGATGAACTAAGCGAAGATATGCAACGGTCATCTTTACACCGAGTTGCACCAAGTATGGATACATATGTAAGTCTACGTAATTCATAATTATTTACACTAAATAGTCAAATATATGAACTACAGGAAGACATGTCTTCGTTAAGTATGCCACCAATAATAAATAATCAAGAACTCCATAACAATCAAATAGGTGAGTTTAGAATTTCTCTTATTAATCTATTCATTTAAGTATTTCATTATTAGTTAATTATCCTCAAGTTGGATTTAATGAACACCAACAAGGACTATTAGACCACAACCAAACATTATCACCAACTGTCGATGAAGGTTTACGTGAAGTACGTTTATATCGTTCATCAAATTCTCAAGAATTAGGTCTTGTTGCACGATTTAATAAGCAGTACTATACTATTCATCATGTTGAGCATAATAGTCCAGCTCAACAGGGTGGACTTCGTAAACATGATATTATACGAAAAGTAAATAATCAACCAATTGAAACAATTTCTCACGACACTTTTCTTCAAGTTATGAAGGACAGCAATGATATTACTTTAACTGTTCAAAGTTTGGATGATTACAAACGTACTCATCCTGAACAATTCCAAAATCATAGCACTCAATGAACATTTAATGGAATTATTAATTTAATTTATAATAAAATTGATCGAATTGAACGTAAAACTGATTTATCTAACTTATTCACCAAACGATAAAGACGTTTGAAAAATTTCATTTTAAATTCATGTACTCATAGCAAGAAAAACAACTGTATTAATTGTAAATATTATTAATGACACATTGATTGTAAATCGTTGTTTTTTTTTTCTTGCCTAAAATTAAGATTTTAATTAAACTAAATTTATTGAAATAAAGTATATGAAAACTAGATATTTATTATACAAAAACAAAATATCAACAGAAGACATAAAGTGTTGATAAACGCGTTTGTATTTTAATTGAATAGATTCTTGAATAACATTTATTGATGAAAGTCCTTGCATGATTCATTGATTTTAATTCTGAAACTCTGTTAATAATCAAGTAATAGTTTTAAATTCAACGCTATTGAGTTAGTATGAAATATTATCTAACACATTCTTGAAAAAAGAATCCGAACACTAAATGCTTAACTACAGAATATGATTGATGAAACATTTAATTATCTATTTAAAAAACATTATTCGAAAATGTATAAAGTAAATTCATATATATTCGACGGTTTTTCTTGATACAGATTCTTTTTCTTTGATTTTAGTTACGTGAGAAATGTTGGAACAAGAGATTTGATGGAATTAATTTGTTAACTTTCACCGAGCATTTGCAGTGTTTTCTTAGAAACTGATGTAGAAAGTTTAACAAAAAAAAAATTTCAAAATTTTAGAATTCATCAGTTGAGTAATACTAGACTAGTATTATCTTCAAAGAGTCCTGTTTTTTTTTATTGAGATATAAATCTTTTGAAATAGAGCCATTTTTAATATTTTTATAAACTTATAATATCCATAACACACTCTACTGATGAGTGAAAATATAAACTCTATAAATCTTGCAGTTACTTGTGAAACATTACCGGTAAACATGTCAAGTCTCCACTCTGTCAAACAAAAACTACCAAAAACTTATTCTGTCAATGTCGGTTTTTGACTACTTTTCGTTTGATTAACAAAAAAAAAAACTCAGACGATTCTATCAACACTTCATATTTTTCTTTTTCGAAGTTTTATTTGTATAATAAACATTTCTTCGTTCTAGTATTCACATATCTTTTCATAATCATTCACAATCGTTTGATTGTTATTAAATTGAATAAGTTCGAAAAATTTTTGTTTATTTTTACGCTCCGAAATGCTTACATAGGGATATGGAAGGCCAATGTAGAATGACAACAAGAAAGAGTGTAAAGCGATGACAGTGCATATTCAATATTATTACAGCAAAAACAACCTGATACTGTTTACAATAGAAAAAAAGCAAATACGAAAAAAGAATAAGAAATAGAAGAAAATGAAGGATAGAAAAAGCACATTGATATATGTAGAGGCGTTTAATCAACAATATCAATCTACTTAAAAACCTTAGAATATCATGTCTTTCTTTCAATTTTTCATTTTTCTCATTTGTAAAAAAAGTGATCAAGATTATTCTTTTGACTTTTCTTGAAATCATTTCAGAAAAATATATCATAATAGAAGAAAGAGGCTAGCTAACATGAAATTTATGCATGTGCTACAATCTGTTTTTTTGTATATACCTATGAACGTAGAAATTGAAAGAGTTTTCATTTATTACATAAAATAAATTTCATTCTGACATCAACAAATACTAATGCATCAATCTTCTCCTACATTCGTAAACAATAAATTTTGTTTAAAATATCATATGTCTAACAGTTAGTTTTTCGCATTTGGCCAATGATTTATTTTTATCGGTTTCTAATTAAATGTGTTCTTTATAAGAAAGGTGATTTGCATACACGTGCACATAACATAAGAAACAATAGCAAAACAAAAACAACATATGATAGTATCATTTGCAATTTATTAAATCATTCTTTGTAATAGAAAAATGTAGATGTTTTATCGCTTTTCATTGAATTTCACAATTTTTAACTAAAGTAGTTTTAAAAAAAAGCATTCAAAACTATGTTGAGGATTTGAATAAGAAATTAAATAATGTTGATTTCATTCTTTCAGATTTTCTAGCATAAAATGCTAAAAATAATGCACATATTGATGTAAATATACTAATTTAAATTCGAATTTTGTTAGAGATTAATTATATTACAAGAAAAATGTGAATCTTCTATCATAAGAAACAGTTTAGAATATCACATTTAATGACTTGAAAATTTTCAATCGATCTGATTGAATACGAAGCAAAAAAACAAACAAATAAATAGACATTTTTTGTCTCTTTTGTATGATATTTATAAAAATAGAATGATACAAATAACTCAATCAATAGTCGTGCATTGACATAGTCATAATATCAAACTAAATATAAGCCATTGATTTTCAGCCAATCATCGTTACCGTTTAACCCTAACACAACGACCTTCAAGATAACTATTTGTTGTCTACCTGAGGTGAATGCGAACCACTACTACATAATAATATAAATATAATCCATGAAGTTGTCATTAGTTTATCATGAACATGTGAAGACTTTATAGAAGGTTTCATAAAAAAAACAAACAAAAATGTTAGAGTTGAACTATATTTATCTTATCTTTTTTCATGGTTTCATCGTTTTTTTATTTTCAAAGCATTTGAAATCATGCATCACTATTCAATGTTAACATAGACTTTGAGTTTTTCCATCATAAGAAGAACAAATCCATATATGACTGACTGAATTTATCAGTGTATTATACCAACAAAAAAATTCACCAACTAATTAATTTCGAATTTCGACTTGAAACTTTATAGAAAGTTAGATCTTAATGAGAAATTTTGAAATATTTTGGTTTGCTTCTGTTCCGAAATCAGAGCATAAAATGTATTGTTATATATTAGCAATGAAAAAGACACGCTTTTACCTAGGCTACATTTCAGAACAAGAATAATGACAAGATTTGAAGTATTCACAAGAAACTATTTTCGTCAAGACTGTCTTTATGTAAAGTTTCAATTTGAAATTCGATAATCAGTCTTTCTGTTACCATGACATTCATTTAAAAACTATCACAAGAGTATAATATCTCGAGAACAATGAGCTAAGAACACGAATTCTTGTTTTCTCATAACTGTTCTCGATGTATATTTGAAATGGCATGACTCGGTTACTTGTGATGAGTACATAACATGATAATGAATCTTAACGGAGTCCGGACGAGTTTCAACTACTCAACAAGCATTTATGTACACTTTTGGATAGTGTATTCCTATAAATGACAGTTGAACGTATTCGTTAGCTGATCAGTTTCATTTACTATACGGTACCTAACTGAATGGGATCTGCACATATTTCACATGTTCGTATCAGGATTAATCAGATACATAAATATATCTTGACTAAAGTAACCAAGAAAAACATTCGTAGTGTAAAAGATTTATTTAATGTTGGTGTTGATAACTACAAGCATCAAAAACTCCTTGATTGAGATTATTCAAATCGATATTTGAGACAGTATTAGGAAATCTTTGCGCTAATATTACAATAGTTCCTGTTAATGAAACAATGGTAAAGATAATCAATAGAATTCGATCGAATACTAAAGCAACATAATGCCAATCATGAGCATTCTAAAATAAATAGAAATATGATTTTAAATAATGATTTATTATATTATTTTTACTTTATTTTTATTAACAGTTCTATTAAATTTTGAAAAAATCTTTTCAATTTCTGTTAAATGAAGTAATTTTTCCAACATTATCATAAAAATAGCATCATATGTATTATCTTGTGGTAATTTCATCCAATATTTTCTTTTATTTTGTTTAACTTTTTTAACTTTATCTTGTTTTATTGATGGTAAAAATAATAATGGTGGTAATATATTAATAAAAAAATATTTCATCCATTTAGGTATTGATTTTTTCTGATTTTGTTCTCGATAATAAAATGCAAGAGTAACTATTGCATTTAATATTGATAATGCTACAAGAATCATTATAAATAATAAATATTTTCCTAACAATGGTATTATTATAGATGTTGATGGTATTAAATCAGCAAGTAATGGAAAAAAGACTGTTAATGCTAATTCAATACTTATACAAAGAACAATTTTTTCACCTGATTGACTTGGTAAATAAAAGACAATTAATGTTAATAATGATATACCAACACAAGGTATTATCAAATGAACTATATAAAATAATGTTTTACGTTTTAATACAAGTATATATGTTATATCATAATATGGTTCTAAACAACAAGTATATGATTTTTGATTACGTTTAGCTGGTGCATGAATAATTTCCCATTCACCATTAGGATAGTAATTATGAAAAAATACACCTTGAGATCGATAATTGTTAAAAGAATGTGCCATTTCAATATTATTATAAACAATATGAGATAAATTAAGTTGATTTCCATCATGTCTACAAAAGAATTTCATAGATAAAATATAGAAAAACATAGATTTTGCTTACGTCCATGAACCAAATTTAAGTGAACAGACTTGTTCATCTAAAAATTTCAAAAGACATATTTTGTAATTTATTTTTCGAAACGCAAAATATACTCATCAAAGACATACAAATATTATACTAAGTCAAATTCGTATCAAAGCAGTCAAGCCAAGGCAAAAAATTTTCTTTATCTGTAGTTAAATTAAAATTGACATTAGCTAAGTCATGGAAAATCAAATCTTATGACAATGTTGGTAATTGAAACAAAAGTTTGAACTTTTAAATGTGATAGGAATAAGTTCTAGAATAGTTTTTTTCTAGATCATGATTCACAGTAAAAATAGTTGATCCTGAATAGCTCTTATCAGTACTAAATTATTAAAGCGATTGATGTATTTCTCATCATTAAGAAAATCAATGTTCTGCGTTTAGTTTTATAAGGGTTCTCTCTCCATGTCTATCACAGGCTATTATAAATTATATTTATCATCGTACGATGTACACGTGAACAGAGGAAACAGACGATTGCTTTGAAAGATTGG